GTTGATCTGCGGGCAATCCCCTGAAAACTGGTCCACGCAATCTCCCGGGGCCCTGTGTAAGGTAGGGGTCGCCAGGAACGGGCACTCTTACGTAAGCTCCATCACGTGATCGTGGGAGGCGCAAAATCCGAGGGATTTCGCTTGCCCGTACCAAGTTTAAGGTCGAGGGGAGCCTGAGAAATATCTCAGCAGGCTGCATTAGTGTATCTATAACCTGGTTTTGATTCTACATTTGCCACTCCATTCAGAGAAGTCACTCGAGGCCAATTCCCAAGGGGCAGAAACTAAGCGCCAGTGGGCAGGCGGGATTTTACCCAATATGGAGCTTGTACGCATCAGCGCTCTCGCGTGGCAGATCACGTGATTAAGGCGCTTGCGCAAAATTCGACCTCTCGCCAACACAAAATCTTGCCAATTTGGCTGGTTTGGCTGAAAAATGTGTTTTCCGCTGAGATCACTTTTTCCCTAATAGCTCAATGAAAACGCCATGTAAAAAGATTCTGCTGAATAGGAATTATAGCCAGAGCCTCTTCTGACATTTCCTACTGAGCAGTTTTACCAAAGGAGGAGTGCGCCCGTCGCCATTAAGGCCGTCACTGTCGGCCGACGTCTGCTTACATAAGGGGTGCCCGTTCCTGGTGACCTCTACCTTATTCTGTGGAGACTATACGATAAACGCTTACATGTCAGATTAGGTTTACGCACCACTCCGGAGATCCTTCGTTGGCAACTTGGCGGTGGTAGCTACCCACCGTTGTTCACTTGCTGGCCGTCTTCGAGCTAACATGGACCTGAGCCCATCTCAGCCTCTGCCAGAGTCCGCCTCGAATGATGACGAGCTACGGTCGTACTTCGACAACATCACAAAGTCATGCGACGTCTTCCGAATCTTGCTAGTCGGCAAGGCGGGGTCTGGGAAGTCTACTCTCGTGTCTGAGGTTTTCGACTTTGATCTGGATAAGGCTCGCGTGCAGGATTTTTCTGTGAGTATTTCTCTTCTACGATCCTCCGCCGGACGACGCCCAACTCCGACTACAATGTCGCTAGTCTGCGGAACACGACATCAAGGAAGAGATCACCCCACCGACCAAGTCATTGTGTTTGCACGACAGCAAAGGACTCGAGAGCGGTTCCCCAGAGAATCTCAATATTATCACCGACTTCATCAAGGATCGCGAAGGCCGCCCATTTGCAGAACAGCTACATGCTATCTGGTATGCCAAATTACCTTTGGTATCGCAGTACAGCTAATGTGCAGTAGGTACTGCATTGAGATACCCATCGCGGGCCAGCGGCCCTTCGAAGGGGGCGACATCGCCTTGCTTGACTCTCTGAAAAGGTCCGGAAACAAAGGTAAGAAGCAGGACGTTAAGCTCACGCAGCTACCCCCTCTCACTTGTGCCGAGCAGTTCCCGTGATAGTCGTGTTCACGAAAATCGACCGGCTAGAATTTCGAGAGCAGAAGCGGCTCAAGAGCGAACACATCCAGTCTGGAATGGACAAAGCAAGCGCAACGGCGAAGGCAAAGCAAGATTGCATTGCGGCGGGCGTGAAAGAATACGAGAAGTCATGCGTCGGCGTGCTCAAGTCTGATTTGGTTCCTAATGCTTGGACGCATTACTGTGCGGTGTCATACAAACGTGGGTTCAAGTGCAGGGGCCATAGCCAAGATCACAATGACCATGACTGACACTCACGTAGATCCAGAATCAATTATCTCGCTCATTCAGCTTACGACGTCAACTCTCTCGGATTCAGAGGCTCTGAACGTCATGTGGGCATCTGCACAAATGGTTAGTAGCTGTTATTTTAGTGCACCACATGGTGATAAACGTCATCTTTTCCCCAGGCGGACGTGAATCTCAAGGTTGAAACATCACTTCTGTACGTTATATCTTGGTTTACGCCAGCATCGCAGCCCATCATTGAGTTATGCTCTGCAACCCTGCAGCGCCGGAAAGAACAGTAAGTAAATATAACTCTGATTGGAATTCGCTCCACTGATGGTATGTAGTGTACTGGCAAGGTCTCGGAGCTGCCTTGATACCGGTACGCGGTATACGGAGGGTAACCCTCCTTCATATTCTGGGACGGATTCACCGCGACATCGTCCGCGTATGGAATATATACGTATGCTGACTCAGCTTATTGTGTTTCGCATGCGTCTAATCGATCTTCTCTAGGATCCCGACGAGGTTTGTAACGCGAATGCACGCCAGATTACAAAACTACTGACGTGCCGTACTCGAGCAGATCCTCGTCGGTGCCAACATGCGAGCCATGCTTCGCAAACTCTTTATCGAGCCGATTATGGTTCCCACTCTCGAGGGCGACTCGCATCACGATGCCGAGGGATCGAAGATCATTGAAAACCTCGCATCTGCTGTCATGAATCCGGCCTCCATGGCCGTACCCGCAGCCACTGAGGCAATAAAGCTCCTGGAGAGTGTTGCCGTTGGCACTCCCGCAACCGCTCGTGTGCTCATGGCGTACGTTGCTGGTACGTGCAGGTTGCTGAGCGGCGGTTCTGCATCATGATGCTGACACCGTTTGCCAGACCTGACGCTGGGGCTCGAGAGCCTGTACTGGACGGTTCGACCTCGCGTAGACAAGGCAATTTCTCGTGAAGACGTGACCCGTGCGTTCACGACCTATCGCGCATCTTCGCAGCGGAAGCAGGTGCATATGCTCATCAGAGATTACATCGGAGACGAGAACGTTTGTCGATCTATGTCCGTCTTGAAGAGGAAGATACTGAATATTATCTCACAGGTGATACGGTCCTTCAGCCGCGAAAAAGCAATGACAAGGGTGTCGACGATCATTGCCAAGTCGCGCTTCGTAAGCCGTCTTAAACTTCATGAAATGCTTTGCTTGACTTCGAGATAGGATCCTGCTACCGTCTTCAGAAGCTTTTCCCTATGAGCTTTGCTTGCACACGTCCTCCTAATACTCCGAACCCGTTGACCCATGTATAGTTTGCTTCTATCCATCTCTCTGTGATCTCGTTTGTTATTGCATGTACCGTCGAAGATGTAAAGTATCCAAACGGCCGTTCATTTGAATATTTTCCTGGGAACAGCGTGTCAGTAAGGGACATCCGGTCCGAGCTATCTTCGAGCAGTGTTACGCGCTGATTTTGACTCTTAACTTCGCACACGCTTTCACCTTTGTAGTCCATCTCAACTTCTCGTCATTGAGCTGTGTAATGCCTGATATCAAACGATTCCGCCTGCTCATCATTGGCAAGACAGGGTGTGGAAAGACGACGATCCTTAGTAAAGTAAGCGGTTCCTTGGTGGTCTACGCTGAGTATACCGAACCGTTGCCAGGTGTGCGGTGAAGAAGTGGTGTGTTTCGACCGAAGTCTGTCTGCACAACACCATTTCATTCTCGTCTAGGTCGATCGACCCAGCACGTCGGTGTGTCAACGATCCGTTACCATCAGTAATGTCTTGGTCGTCTACTGATGGCGCACTCTACACAGCGCGGTGTGCATGATATCGAGCAAGAGCTCCTGTTTCAGCTTAATGATAAGCTTGTCGCACACGACTCCGAAGGCTTCGAGGCCGGGCAAGGCAAGGAAGTCAAAGTAGTGTCCGATTTTATCGCGCAAAGAGGGACAATGGAGGACGTCAATGAACGACTACACATGGTATGGTACGCGCTGAGTCCGATTCGATGCCCTTGGGGGTCGGTGTACATGCTGACCTGCTCTTTTACAGGTATTGTGTAGAGATGAGTGCACGGCCAATACAACACGCGGAACGCGAGTTCTTCTCCACCTTGAAGCAAGGTCCGCTCCATCTACCGCGGCTTCCGGCTTATATTTATAGGCTTTGCAGTGCCGGTCATTGCGGTGGTCACCAAGTTTGACGTCTTCGTTCAGGACACTCTTCAGGAGCTGGAAGAAGCTGCAGAAGAAGAAGGACGTGAAGTTGACGAAGATGAGCTGGAAGCGCGAGCTACAGAGATCGCGGAGAGCCGCTTCAAGGAGTACTACAGCGCACAGCTAGAAGACTTGCCATTCCCTCCCAAGGCGATTGTCATCCTCTCGCGCAGTGAGTAATCCCATACTCGATCGTGCCATCGCACTAAGACATGCATGCATGTAGCCCATGAGTCCAAGCCTGACGACTCTCGCCTGAGTGAGCTCATTAGACAAACAATGAAAGCGTTGAGCCCGGCGGATGACGTACAGATGACATTCCAGAGACGAGAGGAGCAGCGCAAGCTGAGAGACCTCTTCGTGACCGCCCAGACGGCTGATCTTACAGTTAAGGTTGAGACTTCAATAAGGTATGTTGCAATATTCACGCTCTATGCGAAAAGATCTCACTGGCTACGTATCTATTTCTAGCAAGGGCATGGGCGGTCAGTTGCACTCTCATTACTTCGGCTAATCTGCTGATTATCTTTGTTCTCAGTAAATTACGAAAGGCTTGGACAACGTCCAATTGAGAGGGAGCAACTGATCGAGCTCTGGAACACCGTTTGGTCAAAAACGAATTCTCCAGAGCTGTTTGCCTGGGTGAGCTTCTGTATTCTGATGGTGACTATTGACGGCAAGCTTATGCACACTAGCTTAACTATCAGCTACAGTATCACATTGATTATAGCCCACGAATTATAGGCCATCTTGAGTCATCCGATTTGGAACAGATCTGGCAATGGGATTATCGACTCAAGCAGTCTGCTCAGCTTGAAGAGATGGTCATAGGTAGGTAATCCTTGGAAACATATTGCTTATACAGTGCCTCACGCTGACTGGGAACTAGACAGTGTGATTATTATGAAGCACATATTCCTGCTGCGTGCAAACGACAAAGACGCCGTCCAACGCCTTATCGAATGGTACAACTTGCGGAGTACCACTGCACAACATGTCCGCAAGATGCTTGTGGAGAAGCATAATCGCGATCCAAAGGCGTTGATCGGGCTGAGCTTCGAGGAACTGCACGTAATGGCCAATAACTTGGAGGTCGAGGTGCCTGATTTTACTCTAAAGCTGACGCCGCCAGCACCGTCTGTTCCAATGCCAGCCTCTGAGGTAGATGCCAAGATGCCGTCCCGGCCTCGGCATACATTGGTGTCCAAGCTATTCATGAGAGCTGGAAAGAAGCGTAGATAGCACCTTGTAAATCTTGACTGTTGAATGTATGGGACAGAATTGGAACGAGTGGATTGGCACCGAAGGCAGAGAGTAAGTGAAAAACCCCTACGAGGAGCCGCCAACACCCCAGAGACGTTTACTGGGTGCGAGAAAGTGCTCTGCACCTTACATTCAAATCACCTGGTCCCTTAGCTGTAAATTGGCTCGAGCATGTCCGCTTGCCGCAAGACCGCCAAGGAGGGGCGCATCAAACTGAACCGATGGCAGGTCACCTGCGCGCTGCTTGATCACATCCGCAGCCCTCTCGACGCGCAAGTTCGAGCTAATGTGTCTTCAATCGTCTTGCAACAGGTCGTTTTGCTTACAGTGTGAACCTCGTATCTATAGCCAAATGTTATTGGGGCAATGTTATCGCATCCGCCTCGGACTCTGAAAAACGGCAGCGAGTGCGTTCTCTCCTGCCGAACCGTGTAAGCCGGCATCTATGGTCTGACTTCTGGCTTTCGACCCTTCTACAATGCCTGAAGTTCTTATGCTAGCAGAGTGCGACGGTAACCTGAAGAAGTTTCAACGCCATTGACCCCGGAGAGACTCGAGGTCCAGATGAATATCTGCCTGGGAAAATTCGCCGGCGGTAGGAAGTCGCACCGTAATTGGCTCCGACAGAGCAGCTAGGGTTAATTGCTCGTTGATCAGGGACTGGATGCGAGCTCGATGGAGCATCTGATTCGATCCATTCCTTCAACGTCGAATCACTGAGGTCACTTTCAGTAGTACCTAATCTGCCTGCTCCTGGGGCTCTGAAGCCCTCTTACAAACGTCTCGATGCCTGAGATCAAGCGATTTCGCTTGCTCATCATCGGCAAGACAGGATGCGGGAAAACTACGATCCTGAGTAAAGTGGGTAGCAGCTTTTCGGCTTTCTCGCGTTGTTGTGTATGACTCGTGTGACTTGCCAGGTGTGCGGTGAGAATGTGGTAAGCTACGAGGCGTTGTCATTTGCAAGTACGACCTAATTTTGAAGTAGGCAGATCAGCCCAGCACGACGGTAAGCCCCCAATCGAGACTGTTGCTTTCTAACCTGTTATTGAGGATTTTTCTATTCAGCGAGGAGTTCACGATATCGAGCGAGAACTCATACCTCAGCGTAACGACAAGATCGTTGCGCATGACTCCGAAGGCTTTGAAGCTGGGCAGGGCAAAGAAGTAAAGGTAGTGTCCGATTTCATCGCGCGCAGAGCCGCGACTGAGGACATCAACGAGCGATTGCATATGGTCTGGTATGTACACTGTCCCTATATCATCGTCTATACGACATGGATATGTGCCGAATCGAGTCTACTACTCCTCATAGGTATTGTGTGGAAATAAACTCACGGCCGATACAGCAAGCGGAGCGCGAATTCTTCTCGACTATGAAAGAAGGTTTGCCGCGCCTGATACTGCCGCAAACGCAACCTCACGGATTGCACAGTGCCAGTAATCGCTGTTATGACGAAATTCGACACGTATGTCCAGGACGTACTGCAAGAACTAGAAGAAGCGGCGGAAAAGGAAGGTAGAGGCGTGGACGAAGACGAACTGGAGACCCAAGCTACACAGACTGCGGAAAGCCGCTTCAAAGAACACTACTGCGCTCCACTTCAAGCACTTCTATTTCCTCCGAAGGCAGTTGTTGCCCTTTCGCACAGTCGGTAGTTTGACATTCCGTTATGTTGCCGTTGCTGACGTTTACGTTTACCTAAATACAGCCCATAAGTCAGAACCCAGTGACTCGCGTCTAACTGAGCTCATTCGTCAGACAATGGACGCACTCGAGCCTCCGCAAGATTCAGAGGTTATTGCAAGCAGACACGAAGAGCAGCGCAAGCTCCGAGAGCTATTCGCCACTGCGCAAACAGTTGATGTTGCATTGAAGATCGAACACTCAATCTGGCAAGTGTCCCTGCCGCTACCTCTATGAAAATTCTGCGCTAACTGATAAATCTGGACCCACAGTCTGGGCATGGGCGGTGAGTACAGTAGTTGGCGCCACACCGAGCACTAAGCTCATTTCTTTCTAGAGAACTATGGCAGTCTTGGCGAGCGTCCTATCAGCAGAGAAAGGCTTCTCGAACCGTGGAACACGGTTTGGTCCAAAGAACATGATGAACAGTTGTTTAAGCACGTGAGCCTTCTCATGATTGAGGTAAAGCTAGCACGATACTAAGCCAGGACAGCTTGATCGCCGCCTACAGGATCGCATCGACTTCAGTTTTCGACTCATTGGCCACCCTGAGTCGGATGACTGGCTACAGATTCGGCGATGGAATAGTCCTAAGCTCAAGTTTTGTGCTCAGCTCGAACAGATGGTCATAGGTATCGGATTCCCGAGCTGTCAGCGTTCATGACTGCATCACTAATTCTTTGCGTACGCTAGATACGGTGATTATTATGAAACATATATTCCTGCTGCATATAGAACATCTCGATGTGGCCGAACGCCTAATTGAGTGGTACGACTCTCGAAGTGCCACTGCACAACGTGTTCGGCAGGCACTTGTGGACGTGCACAATCGGAATCGCACCGCTATCGTTGGACTGTCGATGCATGAGCTGTATCGAATGGTCAACAGCCTGCAGTTTGAAGCTCCTGATATCACTCTAGAGTCTATGCTACCAGCACCTCCTCCCCTGGTACCTCTACCTTCAGTACGCCCGCTCGTGGCGGAAGCCGAGACTCGGCGCGATTCTCGGTTATCGCTCGTAGCAAAGTTATTCAAGAAGGCGGAGAAGCAGCAAAAGTAATCCATCATGGCGCATGGATGACCGGTAATGTTGAACGTACGCGACTGTTCGGTTTACGATTGCTAATATACAGAGACAGTACCTCTATGTGGAGACTCCAAGTTGCCGCCATGACAAGCGTATACTATGCAATGATTAAATTGTTGACCACTCGCAGTAGCTACTTTACGAGTTGAGTGCGCCTTGGACCCTTTATTTCCAGATCTGGAGCACACGTACACATTGTCTCCGCGTTTGTACGCTATTTTTGTATCTCAGATATGTATTCGTGCAGTATAATCAATCGCAGAGCCATTCACATCACGCACCACATATGCGGTCACAATACTTGTGAACAACTCCCATCGGTATCTCGTCACCACGGATAAAGCGATGTACCACGCCATTTTTTATGTGACTAGGCCAGCCTTGTTCAGGATAGCTGTTCATGTTCTTCGCTGTTTCCTGGATCCTCGCTGTACACCAGGCAACGGTTGTACCGCAATTTATTCACGTGGCTCTCAACATGAGAAAATATGTCGCAGCCTTACAGTAATAATAAAGGACTTGTATAGTCTCTGGGTCATTCGTCCCGGAAGTAAGATGGCGAGTATCTAACGCCATCGATTAACATCTTTGCGTAAGTTTCGCGGAGAGCCATACCTGATGTCGTCCATATACGTCCGTTCGTATGTGAATAGATTCGCTATGCGCTCTGGAACCCCCATTTGGGTAATCATATCGTCTACAGCCGGCTTCCCGCGTGCGCCGCGGCAGCATATACGTTGTAGCCTCGGATTTGTGGCGATCAGCTGGATATAGCCGCGCTTCAGCCAATCCGTGATGTTGTAGTATTCAGAAGATGCAGAGACCGTCTCCAGCGCTGGGGCGTTCCCCAAAGCAACCGCAATGCTAGTGGACATGCGAAAACCTTGCGGAAGGATTATCGTCCTCTGCACGACACATGTTAGCACTCGTTTTTGTAATCACGGCGACGGACAACTCACCAATGTTACAAGATGATGTGTTAAACACTTCTCCACAAGCTCTCGTCCCTCGCGAATGACCTTGCTTTCTCCGGCGTACGACATGTACGTCAGGTATAGCTTGCTCAATTTGAGGATGGGAAGTGCGCGCCGAAGCCCAGCAATGCTTTCTGTTCCCCGTATGCTGATGTTCAGGTATAGTGTGTGCACGTTAGGAGTCATCCTCGCAACATCATGCAAATCTTTCCCCAATCCGCCTTCGAGCCTGAGATAACGTGTCGCGGCCCCGATGGCCGGGTTCGCTTTGAAGAGACGCGCCAAGGTCTTGGTATGCTCCGCCTTCCAGATAACGACGCCTCGGTAGAGGAGCGGAGTGCCGACCCTTAGCCAGCGCTTTGATACGAGGAGAAGGCTGGACTGGCGCAGCAGCATAATATGCTCCCATTCTGAGTGGCTGCGGTAGCAACCCCGCCCATACGTACGGTCGTACGACGGAAATCTGCAGAACAGGGATTCATCGACAGCGAGCAAGTAGTTGAGTATGTGGTGCAGAATTTCGTCCGGTATGTTGGGCTCGCTCATGCCGCATGGTAAGGTGACAATGTGGTTCGAGGCAACCCGTAATTCGCCGAATCTGGGTACGCCACGAGGCCCCGGCAAATCGCCCACAGCCCTTTCCGTCAGAGGGACATCCCAGCTCATGCACATAATCCGCCACCATTCAACTTGCTGCACAACGTGTCCGAGAAGATATGCGGCTTTTAGGACCTGCACTGCGACTATCGAGCTGGCTCAGTTCTCAACATAGCACCAACGAATCAATCCCCTTTGCTTTCGTGAGTTCATCGCCATGCTGCGGCTAGACAGCGTGAAGTTGGCCGGTACAAGGATGCTGTTATTATCTTTGTGCAGTCCAGCGTTGACGATATCGACAGTGACAATGGGGCCGTCAGACAGACTGCCAAAAAGACGTTGTGAGCAACGCAAAATATCAGAGTACTGAGGTCCTAGACATACCCGGGCATCACTGGCCAAGCCACTTGGGCCACCATCAATAACCGGCAAATCGAATGAAATGGCAGCGAAAGTCGACTTGTCAACGCAGATAGTGGATGATAGGTGTAAAAAATGACAGTGCGACAAAGTCCTTGAGGAAGAATCTACAGGCACCAGGAGATCGTACCTCCGGACAAATATCAACGAACCAAGGTCCTACTCGAGGAAGTGTCAGCACATCGCGTAAGTCAACACGTGCTGCCAAGCAATTCAGTTACAATGTCGCGACATTATGAAGAGGAAGAAACAGAAGCTTACGGTCCTGTAGTTTAGTTTGGAACAAATCGCTGGCCGCATCTTACCGGAACGTTGCGCACGACAGGTGGAGATGCATAGACCCGGGTTGTCCACAAGAAAACATCCGGTAGTGTGTGCGGAGAGCTAGGCAAGAGACTGCACTGATGTGGCGAGAAGTATGAGCGCATAAGCTCAGGCGAATAATCGCTGACCGGCACTCACAAAACTACGGAATGAGCATGCGTCTGGTAGCGTGTCTGCAATATGTTGTGCTTAAACTACAATTCCCTTCGTTGAAATTGCATGCTTACAGGCCGCTGCATCCGGCTAGAGGTTCTAGGACTGTGTACTGCAGACGGGAGGTAGGTTCCATGTCTATAAGACATCCTTTGAAGCACGGTAGCCTCCTTTGGCCCCGACACCCCATATTCCGGAGGAATGTTTTCGGCCCAAATAAGAACGTGTTCATTTTCTCCCATGTAAGAGTCCGAGGTAGCAAAGACGGGTAGCATGTCGCTGGGGGACAGGGTGCGGTCGTCTTTATCGTAAAAGAGGGGGGGAGTTGATGTTATGCACAGCACCGGTAATGCATCTTTCCTCAAATGAGCACGTCAGAGTAGTCTAGAAATGTATTGTAACGCACCAGAAAGCGCGGGACAATGCCCCCAAGCTCGCATCGCCACCCAACACAGTGCGTCCTCGCTTCTCAGCTATTTGACACAAAAAGAGGACAAGAACGGGCCTCGTAACAAGCGCATGGGGCCAGAGGCATGTTACAAGCATGACTCCGGCGGTCAAGACATCGACAAGAAGCGGAGTGCCCCCACACTGGGGCCCCCGACGCCGACGAATCTAGAGGCCGCACTGTGGATCCCCAGAACCATGTGGTAGTACTAAGGCCATAGTGTTGCCTCGAAGCGGCAAGGACAGTTTGATGCCGAGCATGAAGAAAGAGAGGCGTGTCGGCCTAATATCGATGGTTGGGGGAATGCGAGACGCCGTTTCGCCACTATTGTCACAAACGCGCAAAAAGTGAGAACGCGTGTCCGTGATAGACATTCTAGAGAGCGTCGAGAGACCAGGCGAGCAGTGGGCGTTTTCAAGCAGGTCGAGCTATCAGACCGGCGCTAGGGATTGAAATCGGAAGAACACGGGGTCTATATAGAGGTCATTTGGGGACCCCGGATACCTCCGTCCGCAACCGCTCCTCCGTGCTCAATCACGTTTTGAGCACTCAGCATCAGCACGAGCACGCATGACTAGCAGCCCACCACTGTAACATCCCTGGGGCGAACAGCATACACCCGGGGATGCTGGAGCACCCCACAAGGCAAGAGGCAATCGTAGGAACTACCATAGCGCCCCAGCAAAAGCATATATAATAAATGGAATGCGTAGAGTGCAAGATAAGCAGCTCCCGTATTTCCTATACAGAAGTAACATGTCCGTCCCTACTACTATCTCCGCTCTTAACTTCAGTGGTGTCTACACCCAGGTACGCGGTCATCTCTTCTGCGAGGAGCCCCTGCTGATCGCCTTGCAGAACAATTCCCTCAGCGACGCCTCTTCCCTCACCGCCATGACCAAAGCTCAGGGTGTCTCCGAGGAACACCTCAAGGTATTCGCCAAGGCTTCTATAACCTTGACTATCAAGCACACCACGGCGAACGGAGTCGAGACGATCGAGGAAGAGTACAAGAGCGATGTCTCGGATGTCGACGACAGGCTCGAGCTCCTCGAGCTCGGCGCGCCGGAGCGCACTGCTGAGAGCAAGATCATCGGGGAGACCGCCGTCTCCGCCGCGCGCGTGCTCCTCAAGGATGTCGAGGAGGCGAGCCTCATCGGCGGGTGGGACAAGGTCACCGAGGAGCACGGCCTGGTGCTGGTCACCCTGCGCGGCGCCTCCGGCAACGACTGGACGTCCAAGATGGTGCGTACGGCGCATTTGGTGGCGGAGATGTGTGAGTTCTGAGGGCCATGGGCAGGCGCAGGGCTTCCAGGAGGTCGGCGGCGAGAGGCGCTTTGTGCGCCGTATCGCTTTTACCAGCGGCGTAGGCGAGAAGCACACTGCTTGCCTCGTCTTTGACTACCGTACGTCTTCTTGTTCCATATCCATAACAATATCTAATTATCCGATCTTAGAGGGTCCCGCCAACTGATCACCGATGATCGTCATGGTGCTCGCGACAGCGTCAAGGTAGAGACATAGCTCATAGGCTCGTGTGACAGATTGTGTGTGTATTGCGATCGGCGAATAATGCGCATTCCGGTTGTAGCCATACCTGGGCAAGATTGAACTGGAAAACAGCAATCAGTGTATAAGCCTCGGTAAGCGGTGACGGCAGAAAATGCTTACCATCCTCAGCACAGGTATGTATCCAGGTCCGCTGTACTCTCGAAGCTCTCTATTGCCGGTGGCCCAGTATAGAACTGCACCTGGTCGGATTGGCTCCTCTTCATGAAGGCGCACAAATTGGTCATCTGACGGCTTGTAAGTCTTGCACCGCCGCGCATCTCTGAATGCCTTGCATCGTCGCGCGAAAGCAGAGTGATACCTCTGCCCTGAAGTTTCCATTTTAGGAGCCTGAGCTGGAAACTTGAAGGTTCGACAAGCGATCTCTCATAGGTCTTGACCTCTATTGTCTTCAAGTTCACGGCGTCGCGCAGAGAGGAAACTACGTTAGTGACTTCAGGGAAGCTGTCGTTGAGGTGAAGGTTGCGCTGGAAGTATGAAGACTCACGTCAGAAATGACACGTATTACTGAGAATGTATGACATGCCAGATTAGTCCAGTGTTCGCGCATGCGAGAGTCCAGGGGAGCCTGGGATAGCAAACCGCTCCGGGTACAATGTACATGTGCAGTTTCTGGATTGACGTGCAGCCAGAACTTCTTCTGCTCCTCTTTTGACCCAGCTTCCAGGACATCTGCGTTGAGGTACACCATAGAGATATTTGGTGCGTAGGAGACGATGTCCGCCCACTCTTTCGCTGTTCCAGCGTGAAGCCAAATAGAACGAATGCGTTTTCGGAGAGAGAGATCTTTTTCAAGGTGAGTGATGACGCCCCATGCGCAGTGTGCCTTGGTGATGGTAACGCAGGAGTAGAGGAGCGGCAAGAGTATACGATACCACCTCTTCTCAACTCGCAGCAATTGGTAGACGCGAGTGCTCCCAGGCGGAGAGATTAGCCTATCCACGATGGAAATTTGATAGGACCATTGCTCTGGGGCAAGCCGCGTGCAGAGTAGGGTGGGGTCAGGATCTTGGGGAACATGCTGGAGGATCGTCTGGAGGACTTCGTCCGGGATGCGGTTGATGGACATGGTGGTGAAATACTGCGGGAGAGCCCGGGAACAATGTGACCTGATGAACGGCGGCAGCGCCCGAACGCCACGAGGAGATCGGCAGCCCGAGTTTGAAGTCAGAAGTAGACAGGATAGTCGGTTGGCGGACCACCAATATTCGACTCGGTGGCTGAAAATTAGTTTCGCGAGACATACGTTATTCTCGTATAGGAACCGCAAAATATTGTGAGTAAAAAGGCGAGACGAGAGCGTTACGGGCATCACAGAAGTCTCGTAATACGCAAAAGCTGGCCGCGTGGAAGTTGCCTCATTTTATTTCCAGAACGCGCATAGCGCACCCAACTTCTCGAATTAACAGCCTTACTCCATGCTCAGCGCTACCCCAGGCTAAGCGAACGCAAGAGAAGCATGCGTTGGCCATCTATACCTACCTGTCACATTGTTGTCATGGTATCATATTCGAAGTGTACTGCCGCCTCGGTAGCTTCGTAGGCAGGCCACCGATGGTACACTCAGCCACTTGATTGAATGAAACGCAGTTACATGGATGTACTAACATAAGACATAGATGCCTTGTATACAACTATGAACATGGAAAGCTCGCAATCGGCTCTAACACATGGACTGACTGAATGGTAGAAGATAGAACATTAGCTTAATAAGGCTTGCATTTGTTGAGATGGTCCGCACCCATTCTCTATGAAATGCAGTATCGTTCTACAGACGCCCACAGTTTTGATGCGACACAAGGTCAATGTGTGCTGCTCCTAGTCTTGCTTTCGCGTTCCGGAGGGATCCCTCGTCAACTACAAGCTTTTCAAGCTTGTGAGGACTGTTCGAAGTGCGAAAACATTCAAGCAGGTTGTTGAGATCGATGAAATCCTTATTCAGGTAAAGATGGCGCTGAACTTGTTAAGCACGCATTGGGACGTCCGGAGGCAAAAGTAGACCACACACCATATTGGTCCAAAACATTCTTACGCACGCCAATAGGACAGATGAAATCCAAGGTTGTCCGCGCCGTTGTGTCCAGTGCAGGTACACCGTCTCTGGGTTAAGGGAGGTCAGAAACGCCCGTGCTATTTCTTCCGACCCCTCCAGAGCATCGATGTTCAAGTACACTAGCGTGATCTTGTGCGTATGAGAGACGATGTCCGTCCACAGCTGCAAGTTCCCGGCGTGCATCCAAAGTGATTTGATGCGCCGGCCGAGCACCGGCTCACTTTTCACACGCGTGATTACATCCGATGCGTGATGAACCTTGGAGATGATAACGCAGGCATAGAGGAATTGTAGAACGATTGGATTCCACCGCTTCGACACTTGTAGCAGCGACCTGGCCCGCACAACGTCGCGGGGAGCTATGAACTGGAACATGAGCGTGTAGTCCCATTGTGCAGGAGACAAGGTGGTGCAGATGAGACGAGGATCAGGATCAAGGAGAACATGTTGCAGAATTATCTGCAGAATTTCGTCTGGAAGACGGTTCACCGACATGGTGGTCAACGACAACGTCCAACAAATACGAACTCCGTGACGTGACTGTCACGTGTAACGGCGTTACCCGGACGCCACGAGGCCATTGCGCAAAGGCATGCGTCTGGCAATTCTCGGTTTTGCGTCCTTGTGACGATGCTCAATCTGCTTTCTGTCGATGCGCTGCTCAGAGTCTCTTGGAGTGCGACCAATGTGCATGACAGGATCCAGCTCTGGGCGTCAGGCATCGGCCGTGACAGAACCTTATACGGCCCAATATAAGCGAACGTTGGGCATGCAAGGCAGTTCACCACTCTGCCTTTTACTACCATGTCCCAAGATACGAGGACAGCCTCGAAACCTGGACCTTGCCAGCATTACGCTAGGGGGAGATGTCGATTCGGAGACAAATGCCGGTATATTCATGCTACTGGTCCAGGTGAGCTCAGGGTTAGTACATCGACGAGGTGGTTCAATAAAGCGTCATGGATAGCAGCGACGCCCGTGTTACCTTCTGCAGGGAGCAGCACTATATCTTCAGTATATCAAGAGGTCAGTTGCCCTCGTCTCACTGTATAGTAAGCCCCTGAGAAATATTCCTGAGTAGTCACGCCTACGTGAAACCGACTTCATAGCAACTGCCCCAGTGACGAGGAGTAGCGGCACCAAGAACGAAATCTGCAGATACTTCAAGACTGGATCTTGCAAGTTTGGTTCTCGTTGCCGTTCCTCTCATGATTTGCTCTCTGGAGCCGGAGGAAACACAAACGAGCCCAGTAATACTAAGACGGTGAGCCACTATTGTATGAGCACTTCCTGTTTTTGATTAAAAATCCAAGAGTGATTGCGAAGCTCCAAAGCCTGTCGCAGGATCCGCTACTAAGGAGACCGCTGATCGCGCGCCGAACGGTGGGGTCGCTGTTATTAGTGGTGTGAGTCCTTGCGAACATAGAGATCCCGCACGAAGTCATGGAGCATCTCATTCAGGGCCCTTTCCCTTCGCAAACCTTGTTTCAAATGAGTGCTACTGGAACATGCAAAA